GTTTTATAAAATAAAAGGTGAGAAGTGATATTTAATTTTATCAATTGGTCACCAAATAAAGTAAAATTTTACATTTTTCAATTTATTTATTCAAAAATTTCTAAATAAATAAAGAGTTAAACTTACATATTTAAAAAGTAAATCAAAAGTTCTATAAAACAAGAAATGAGAAAATTATTTTATTTCATCAAATACTTAATGAAAATACACAAATAAATAAAAGTTCATGTTATTTTTTGAACAGTGAAGTGTGTAAATTCTTTAGGGACGAAGGTAGTATATAAATTTTAAACTCCACACTCTTAGAACCTGCGCCATCTGGCACTTTTTAAGGCTTGGTTTTTTGACACATAACGGCACCGTTTGACATCAGCGTTAAAGATTAGCGTTAGCGTTTTCAAAAAGCTATCCGACGGTAGTCTTTAGCGTTAGCGTTTTTATATTTAATCTACACCATTAAAATTTTATCCAAAACGCTAGCGCTAATCGAAAACGCTGTTACCAAACGAAGCCAACGTCGCGACGCGTCTCCCCAAGTCATTATCGTGTAAGGACTTCTTCACCGATTCATTCACCGAAGAAAACTATCAAAAATAGTGATTCATGTCGGTGGAGAGGGAGTAGTTGTTATTCAATTCATATTCTTCTTGAATTATACCTTAATTGCTTTGTATTCCTCAATTGTATGAGTGAGATGATTGCCTCTTAAAGACGTCTTTGCCTAATGTGTTGAAGACTTGAATGTTGTTGATTGAGTTGCTTAATGTTCTAAACTATACTCCAGTATTATTTTTTTGAAGTTAAAGTTATGCCCCTTTTGTCTTTTTTTCTCTAAAAAAACAAAGTATCCTTAAACATAAAATAATACTTTTGGATTGCTTTATGTATTTTGGAGCGGGAAAATATCGGGAAATTAACTTTTCCTACCCAAATGAACGGAAGCTAGGGTGTCAAACTTATAAGTTGTGTTAACGTGAACTTATGATCTATTTGTGAAATGTAGACGTTCTCACAACTTTTTAATGAACTCATAGTTGGATCTTATATTTTAGAGTAAATTCCTTAAAAGGTCCATAGTTATAGGCCGTTTTACATATTTAGTCCCTACATATCAAATATTACTAATTTAGTCATCAATTATTATATCATTTTTTACGAATGGTCCTTTGTTAAGAACATGGATAAAATTGTATATTCATACTTCTCTCTCTCCTCAATTAAGTTTTTCCCTCCTCTCGTACTCTTTCCCAAGCTCGTCGTTGAGTTTGAAGCTCTAAACCCAAAACTGAAATGATCATTCTTCTCTCAATTATTAGTCTTCCTGGTGGAACCTAAAATCAAAACCAATTAGCTTTATGGATGAGTTTTATCGGTCAGTCTCAAGAAATTGCAAAGAAAATAAACATTAAAACTTATCCACGAAGGTTATTGGTTTCGAATTTGGGTTCCACCAGTTAGGCAAACAATTGAGAGAAGAGTGATGATTTCGGTTTTGGGTTCAAAGCTTCAAACTCAACGACGAGTTTGGGAAAGAAGTGCGAGTGGAAGGAGGAAGCTTAGTTGAGGAGAGAAAGAAGTGTGAATTTACAACTTTATCCATGTTCTTAACAAAAATGTTAACAAAGGACCATTCGTGGAAATGAATACAATAATTGGGGACTAGATTAATAATATTTGATATGTAGGGACTAAATATGTAAAACAACCTATAACTGGAGATCTTATATGGAATTTACTCTATTTTTTTACAAGAATAAATGCATTTAATTATTCAATACATTAAGATTCATATAATGAGTGTGGATGTGAGGACTTATTTGGTTTATAGTAAGAATGTAAGATAGAGCTTCTATTAAAAACGAAAAATGTGAAACCTAAATATTAGTGTAACCTTCGTTTTTCTTGAAGGTTGTCTTTTCTCTAGAAAATTTATTATCTCTATTTTAAAGTACTACTTGTTTAGTTAGACTGTTTATAATCAAATTATTATATAAATTTTAACAATCACTTACATGAAATCTACAGTTAATGTTAATAAAATGAAGTGACTTATATAAGATAATTTTAATAAAATGATTATATGATAACACAATTCGTCTAATTTGATTTAAAAAGATGAAATTTGAAAAATATGTCCAATGTTTTAGATTATGAGCATGTCCAACCATATCATTAGTATTAATATTTATACATAGATTTATCTTATAAAATTTCAAAAAAACATTTCAAAATAAAATTATTTATATTATAGTTACATCCAATGGATCTGGTTTGAGGATATGTTTGGCATGTAAATGCAAATAAAATTAATTTGTTTCACAACAAATTATTCATCTGAGAAAAATAATTTATATATAGATATATATGGTGCAGTTCAGGTGAAAATGATCCTTTGTTTTGTGAAAGAAATAAAAATAAATCATAACCATATCTAAATAGCTAGGTGCATCGTGCGGCTAGTTTTATTTCCTTGGATGGATTTAAGATGTCAATTAATTATGGTAGGTAATAATTGCATTGAATAGACTATGTAAGTTTCTAGATGCAAGGGTAATATTGTAAACTAAAATTGCAAACGTGTCACACAAATGTTTGAATTGTTTGAGTGAGATGCTTGCCTCTTAAGGGCCTCTTAGCTTAATCTTTTGAAGACTTAAATTTGTTGATTGAGTTGCTTAATAATGTTCTAATTATACTCAAGTATTGTTTTTTTTGAAGTTAAAGCTCCCCCCCTTTTGTCTTTTTTCTCTAAAAAACAAAATTTCCTTAAAGCTGAAAACAATACTTTTTGATTTTTTTTGTACTTTGGAGGTAGAAAGAGTTGGAAGTTAACTTTTCCAATCCAAATGAACAGACGTGAGAGTGTCAAACTTATAAATTATGTTAAAGCGTTCTTAAGGTCTAGATGTGAAATGTAGATATTTTCATAAATTTTTAATGAACTCAGAGTTGGATCTCATTTTTTTCACAACAGTTCATACATGTAATCATTTTATATATTAAAATTCATATAATGAGTGTGGAACTGAGGACTTATTTGGTTTGTAGTAAGATAAATCTTCTATTAGAAATGAAAAATGTGTAACCAAATATTATGTAACCTTAATTTTTCTTAAAGGTTGCTTTTCTCTGAAAAATTTATTATTTCTATTATATAGTACTACGAATTTGTTTAGTTCGACTTTTTATAATCAGAGTATATAAATTTTAACAATCACTTACATGAAAACTACAATTTATGTTAATAAAATGAAATGACTTATATAAGGTAATTTTAATGAAAAGACTATATGATACCAAAATTCGTTTAATTTGATTTAATTTGAAAATATATATCATGTTTGAAAAGTATGTCCAATTTTTTTATATTAAGAGCATTTCTAATCATATCATTTTTTTGGTATGCAAAAAAAATATCATTTTAGCTTGTTAAAAGTTACTCCCTCCGTCCCATTTTATAACGGCTGTTTCGGTTTACGATGTTTGACTGAAATTATTTTCAAATCATTTTATATGACAAATTGTATAAAGTTAAAAAATAAAAATTACATATTAAAATACTACATTAAAAAATCTACAAAACTAGTAGTGACAATAGTACTTTATTTTATCAAATTGCTAACAAAAATTGAGAAAGAAAGTGAATGAAGTTTGACCCTGTGAATAGTAAACATGCATTATAATTTAGGACGGAGGGAGTATAATAAATCAAGTCAAGTCCTTTTGTTCATTTCCAAAGGGTGTGCTATATTTTAGCAAGTTTGCCAAAAAAAACTTTGGCTTGCTAAATATTACAAACTCCTCAAATAATATCAAGTTATTATTGGAGAATGGAACAAAAAGATACTTGTTAATACGGAGTAATTGTTATATCAATATTCACTTGATATAATGTAAAAATAACAAATTTATATAGTAGTCTAGCAGGTAATGTTGGAGATACTCTAACCACTCAATTAGAATGCATTACTCTTTATATATGTTTCCTTAGTCTGGATTTAATCATCTCATTTAATTTTCATCGTCTCCGATGTAACACTTTAATCATATATTTCAATATTTATACATAGATATATTTTATAAAATTTTAATATTTTAAAATTACATTTCAAAATGAAATATTAATATTATATTTACATCGAAATACAATACATTTTATCCACAAATCCATGTAAAAGGCTTACAAAAGAGAATATTTTCTCAAGTTACCGAAGAATAGATGGTCAATATATTTACATCCCACGTCCTAAATTAATCATCCTTTTCTAGATGGTCTCAAATTAATCTTTTTTTGGAAAGCTTTATTTGGCTCATCTTTTTTCTTTTTTCTCAAATATCGTGCAAAGTTAGACTAGGAGGGTTAGTTTTAGACTGAGGAAATATTAATATCATATTCACTTTGTCCTAAAATTATTACGAGGTTTGACTAAAATTATTTTCAATTTAATTTATTTAATTATATGTGCAAAATTTAAAAATAAAAACTATATATTTTAAAACTACATAAAAAATTTTACAAAGCAAAAGGTGAAATGACTATATTATTTTATAAAATAACCAACGAAAATAAGTAAATAAAATAATTATAATTTGATTATGTAAATAGTGACTAAGAAGTTCATTTTACGAGTATTTCAAAATGTGAAGATTGGTTAGCAAATAGACTTTGGCGACACAAGGATTAATTGCCCATTAACTAAAATTAATTACAAACGGTAGAAAAATACAAACAACAAAAAAAACCGAGTTTTTAAAAACACTGATCCAAAAACGTTCGAGCACAACAACGTTGAGGCTTGACAGAGGATGTCGTTGGGACGACAAGTCAAAGGAGAGGGAGGAAAAGCAGAAAAGTAAGACATAGATAGAGAGAGAAAGGGGGAGATATAGAGAGAGAGAGAAAAGCCTGAAGAAGAAGAAGAAAGAAAGAAAAAAAAAGTGAGAGAGAAAGAGAGAGAGAGTTTAGAACCCCTCTCTCTCTTCTCTTTCATCAATGGCAAAGTCCGTTTCATCTTAATTAATCCCTTTCACATTTCTCTTTTTCTTTTCATACACATTCGTAATTTAATTTCCTCTGTTGATCTCCTGCTACGCCTTCATATCCTCAGTGATTTCCCCATTCAAATTCAAGGTTGGGTTTTTTTTGTTCTTTAAATGATTGTTATTATTATTATTATTGTTTATATTCTAATTTCTGCTTTTTTCTTTTTATGTTTCCAATTTTCAATTTTGAGCTTCATCTTCTTGATTTGGGTTTGAGATGTTCACCAAGACCAATAATTTTACAGTTTCATTAGCTTTTGGGGATTGCTTAGCTCGTTGGTTTTGTTTGTTTTGCAAAAGATCAAACACAAAATGGGGGAAAAATTGAATCTTTTCTGGGGATTCATTGAATTTTCAGAAATAGTATGATTCTTTATGAAATTGCAGAGAATTCCCACATTATTGGAGATTTCAGAATCAATTCTGGATGGTTAGAGCCTTAGAGGTTTTGGAATGTGTACCTGTTTATATTTTCAAGCCATTTTTCCCCAATTGCCAGCACAAAAATCTAAACTTTCATTGTGAAATGTGTTTTTTAAAAACCTTTTTTTTTCAAAGAAATTCATTTGGGGTTCTGAAATTTGCAGGAGCAAGAATATACTATATATTAGCTCCAAGGTTTGAGTTTTTTGAATGGGAAATTGCTGTGTTACCCCCGCTAGTTCTTCGGGGAACAGGAATAACAATAAAACTAAGAACAATAAGGGGACCAAGAAGAAGGACAAGAAGAAGCGCAACCCATTTTCCGTTGACAATGAGGCAACGTATCAAGGGAATGACTATTCGAAAAAGCTTGTCGTGTTGAAAGATCCCACGGGGCATAACATTCATGAAAAATATGATTTGGGTCGCGAGCTTGGGAGGGGAGAGTTTGGGATTACTTACTTTTGCACGGACGTGGAATCCAGGGACAAGTTTGCGTGCAAATCCATATCAAAGAAGAAGCTGAGGACTCCCGTGGACATAGATGACGTGAGGCGAGAGGTTGAGATCATGAGACGTTTGCCCAAACACCCGAATATCGTGACACTGAAAGACACTTTTGAGGATGATAGTGCAGTTCACATTGTGATGGAATTGTGTGAGGGTGGGGAGCTCTTTGACCGGATTGTGGCTAGAGGACACTACACCGAGAGGGCAGCTGCAGGTGTTATGAGGACCATTGTTGAAGTTGTCCAGGTACCAAGTTTTTTAAAAAGAGTAATGTTTACGTGTAAGAGTCGAGCAAAACAAACATGATATGAGGAGTGGCTTAATTGACTAAGGCCTTATGTATTGATTGATTTGTATTCCTATGTGGGATGACTATATTGCAGATGTGCCATAGGCATGGCGTGATGCACCGTGATCTCAAGCCTGAAAATTTCCTGTTTGCAAACAAGAAGGAAACCGCTATGTTAAAGACAATTGATTTCGGGCTATCTGTTTTCTTTAAACCCGGTGAGCAAACATAAATGGTGAAACAATATAATTTCACCTCATGAGGCTTTCGTTCTTCTTCTATACTGATTTTGTTTTTTTAAAAACTTTTTTCTATAGGAGAGATCTTTAATGAGATAGTCGGAAGTCCATATTATATGGCCCCGGAAGTTTTAAAACGCAACTATGGCCCGGAGGTTGACATATGGAGTGCCGGAGTCATTCTTTACATTCTTCTTTGCGGCGTTCCTCCCTTTTGGGCAGGTCTACCGATTTCTCACTTTGGCTAATGGCATTTGTTTTTCATCTTCCGGGCTTGTTTCTTGATGATGATTTTCAATGCAGAGACTGAACAAGGAGTGGCTCAGTCTATTATTCGCTCCGTGATTGATTTCAAGAGAGACCCTTGGCCAAAAGTTTCTGACAATGCCAAGGACCTTGTCAAGAAAATGCTTACTCCCGATCCCAAAAAACGACTTACTGCTGAGCAAGTTCTTGGTAAGCGACTCTATTTTGTTTCCTTTTGCGCGAACGACGACGACAATGATGATGATGGTGATGACGATGGTTGAATTGCAGAGCATCCATGGCTACAAGATGTGAGGAAAGCACCAAATGTTCCATTGGGAGAGACGGTTAAAGCAAGACTAAAGCAGTTTTCTGTGATGAACAAGCTCAAGAAGAAGGCTCTAACAGTAACCATCTTTCTATCACATGCCAATCTCTTTGGAATATTTATACTTATTAACTGTTACACAGTACTGATTTGGTTGCACAAACCAAACAGGTCATTGCTGAGTTTTTGTCCGTGGAGGAAGCTGCCGGAATCAAGGAAGCGTTTGAGATGATGGACACCGGAAAGAAAGGCAAAATAAGCATTGATGAGCTTAGGATTGGACTACAAAGGCTCGGTCATCAGATCCCCGAACCAGACCTTCACATCCTTTTAGAAGCTGTATGTGCAAAATCCCTCCCCTACCGTTCTACGCATTTCAAACGGAGCCTTATGTTATGTTCGGTGTTCGGACTTGGGACTGCGCGTACCCTCACCCCACCCCCCGTGTTAGTATGATATTGTCCGTTCTAGGCCAAGTCTTCACGGATTTATATTTGGGCACCTCTCAAAAGGTCTCATACTAATAGGTTGGGTTGAGGTGTGAGAGCTTTGTTTGCATCCCAACATATGAACTCCGAAAATGGCGAAACGAGGAAAAAAATGTTGTTTTTTTGTGTGCAGGCTGATGTTGATGGAGACGGAAGTTTGAATTATGGCGAATTCGTGGCTGTTTCCGTTCATCTGAGGAAGATGGCAAACGACGAGCATTTGCACAGAGCATTTTCATTCTTTGATCGGAATCGCAGTGGTTACATTGAAATCGAGGAGCTACGCGTTGCGTTGAGTGACGACGACATCGACGGCGACAACAAGAACGAGGAAGTAATTATCGCGGTCATGCATGACGTCGACACAGACAAGGTTTGTTTTTCCCCAATAGGGGGGTCCATTCCAAAACTAATTGGCGATAGGAGGAGAGACGACCATGGATCTCATATGTTGGACTTTTTTTTGGATAACGCTAGAAACCCACCACCCATGCCCCCAAGGCCGACGATACTGATGATTTTATGCCTACACAGAAAATAATCATTTGTGTTGTTCGCAGATGATTATCGTCTATGTATATATAAAATCATCTCTATTATCAGCGGTGGGGGCATGAGTGGTGGATCTGTAGCAAGGTCCTTTTTTTATTCTTTTCGATGTGGGAGTGCACACTCTAACACCATCCCTCAAGTGCAACTGCCTAGCCCCACAAGTTTGCTAGTTGCGCTTGACGTTTTAATTTCTTGCCTTGTGGGTCGGCCAATAGACCAAGAATTCGAACCAGATTGAACTGGCTCTGATACCACGATAAAAGTCCAATGGGCCCATCATAGCGGGGGGGGGGGGGNTCCATCCTAAAACCAATTCGCGATAAAGAGAGAGGCGACGATGGATCTTATATGTTGGACTTTCTTTTGTTTCTTTTCGATGCTGGAGTACGTACGCACTCCAACAATTTCCTTGCGCATTTGGCATGCAGGACGGGCGAATAAGCTACGAGGAATTCACGTCGATGATGAAGGCCGGGACGGATTGGAGAAAAGCGTCGCGGCAATATTCTAGAGAGCGTTTCAACAACCTCAGCTTGAAGCTAATAGGGGACGGCTCCTTGAAGCTCGCCAACGAGGGTAGATGATGAATGAATGAATCAACAAAGGAAGTTTAATTCATATATACAGACACAATGCTAGGGGTGTCCCAAATTTGTACGCCATTTCTACACCAAAGGCAAACACAGAATATATATGTGCCCTAACTAACAGACATGAAGTTTCTGTGTTTACCTTTGGTGTACAAATGAGGTACGATTGTTGGGGTTCTCCGATAATTTTCCTATATATACAGTCTCCACATTCCGTGATTTTTGCGGGTTTAATTTTTTCCTTTCTTTTTTGAAATTGTTGATTTACTTATAATTTAAAAAGTCAATTTTTTCTATTTTATTTTTTAAATATAATCATAAATTTTCGCCTCACCGTATGATTCCTCCACATTGAGCACATTTCATGTTCTAGTTCGGTTGATGTGTGTATATAATGAAATATAGTACTCTCTTCGTCTACATTCATTTAACTTTTAATGTGTGTCAAAAGTTGTACATCATCTATTTTAGAAAAAAATTTCATATTATATTTTTTTCGAGAAATGTTTGATTCACAAATAAAATGGTCTCAAATTTCACAAACTTACACTTTGTGAATTTAAATAAAAATAATAATCTAAAAATAATTTTAAAACGGAAATTTAAAACATAAATGGTAAGTTTGTGAACTTTGTGACTATTTTGTTTGCGAATCCAGCATTGCTCTATATTTTTTGTCAAGTTTTTGCATTTTTTACTACTTCCTCCGTCCCGTTTTAAATCGATGGCCTGTTTAGACTTTTAGACATATTTAAGGAAAAGAAAAAATAGAGTTGATTTTTCGAAATTGTCATTACTTTTTAGGAGGGGTGTCGATGAATGAGAAGATAAGGTGAAAAAAGAGTGACTCATTTTAGGGGTAGTTTAGTTATTTTATTTTTAAAAGTTTACGAAAACAATTAACATGCAACTTACTTTGGGACGGAGAAAAAAGGGAAACAAGCAATTTAAAATGGGACAAAGTAAGTACAAATTAATACATAGTAAGTTACTTCGTAAAAGATAATAAAATTACGATGTGCAAATAGTTAAAAAAATGAATTTGATTTTGACAAAAGATTCATTGCCCCTTAGTTTTCTTGGTAAAAATTTCAAGGTTAAAACTATGTACAAAGAACAATTGTTTCTAAACTTATTTTCTTTTGATTAGTACTCATTTCTTCCCATTGTATGTGTTCAACTAGATAAACTTTTAGTTTCAATTATATAAAACCATAATGTACTTTAGTATAAAAATATTTCTATTTGATTTATTTTAATGAAAATTTTTAAAATTTTATTTCATTATACTAGTATGTAACACAAGTTGAGAGTAACCAAAACTCAGAGTTTATCCAGTTTGACTCAAAAAAGTCAAACTCAACAAATAATTAGAACAAGGATAGTATATTTTTATTCATATTTTGAATACAAACCTCTGTCCTTTAATTTTCAATATCCTTTTACAATAACTCTACAATTTTTTTTCAATCTATTAAAAAATTCAACAAGATAATTAAAATATTAAGAAAAGTTTAATTGTATTCCCTTGCAATTCATCCGATGAATAATTTAATTGTAATTCCTTTCAATTCATCCGCATTACTTCCAATGCAAACTATATATTCTAAGTTACTCTATATTTATCCTCGCTGAAATGATTTTTTACCGTTTAACTTTTTTGATCAAGCTGTTATATACTTTGACCATTACTAGATATCATTTTACATTATTAAACGTTATAAAATTTGATACTCCCTCCATCGAAAATTGAATTCATATTTCGGTTTACGAAATTCAACCAAAATAATTTTCAACTTAATTTATTTGATTGTGAATATATAATTCAAAAAAGGTAATTTCTAGTATATATTTAAAAATTTCATAAAAAGTTCTTCAAAACAATACGTGACATCTATTTTATATTCCATCCGTCTTAAAAACTCTTTATCATTTCTTTTTTTCTTGTCCCACAAAGTCTTTAGCTTCCTCATCCTATTAAAAAATTATTTTTACTCCTACTAATTTTTACCTTACATACCTATCGCATCATACCTTTTTACTAATAATCTACCCATCGTATCCTACTATTACTTATCATATCAATGATATTTTTGAAAAGTTAACACAAAAATATTCATCCCTTAAATTTTTTAAAAGTCAAAATAGAAACATCTTTATGGGACGGAGGAGGTATTATGGCATGAGTAGTATAAATAATTAATAAATTGAATAAAGTTTGACCGTGGGAGTAGTGTCTCATTTTTGGAGAGAGGGCACATATTAATCAGTGGATCAAAGTGGAGATGGACATGCAATGAGATAGTTTTTCAAACATTGCAGGAAAACGCGGAGAACTTTTCATATTTTTCTAGGAATATTTTTTTAACTAACATAATTCTGGTTTACGAGACTTGACCGACTTTATTTTCAATTTAATTTATTAGTATCACACCCGTGCATTGCACAGGTCATTTTTATGTTATTAAATTCAAATCATTTTTCAATGATAAAAAATGAGATGCAACAGAATATAGAGATTATAATATTTTAAGGTACAAAACATCACTGCTTTACAAGTTTGGAAAGATTTCTTTAGAGACTACATTATGTGTACAATTTGTGGGAATATTGTCTTCATTGCATATCAGAATCTTCAACCCACTACGATTAATTATTCTTGAAACTACAACATAGAGTTGTCCATGAGTAAAACATGTTGAATTATTGTTACGGAAACCTGTGATAACCCTAATTGCTCGTAGCTTCATCATTAACATTGATGACCTCTCATCAACATTTTTCAAAGCAGTTAAGATTCTCATTTTTTGTAGGAATGACAGTTTTGAAACGCAGTGGAAAAAAATTCACGATGAATGTAATCGCTATGAAAGCTTTGTAAATAGATGTATTTATAATATGATTTTTGCATACAGGGTTAAAAAAATTATTCATTTTTCAAAGTGCTATAACGAATTTAAATTACTATTACTCCGTACTATATTTAAATTATTTAATTTATTATATTTAAAGTTACAATAACTAAAATTACTATAATTAAAATGACACGGTAATTAATACGGAGTATACAATTATCTAGTCACACGGTTATATAATTAATACCTTGGTTAATTATTACCTTTTTTATTAAAATTACTATAATTAAAATATAGCCATTATAAAATTACTATTATAAAATTACTATAATTAATTTGACACGATAATTAATATACAATTATGTAGTCACACGGTTATATAATTAATACCGTGGTCAAGTATTAACTTTTTTTAATATTACCTTTCTTGCTAGTATAATTTTGGACACTTTAAAAATGACAGTTAATTATTATCTTTCTTGTCTATTACCTTTCTTGCTATTAAACGTAAATATATATATTTAAAGTATATTTAATTTTTAGAGTAGTTATATATAGTCCATTTTATATTACTATATCTTCGAATATTTTAATTTCTTACCATCTTTAAATCCTTAATTTCTTACTATATTTAAATTATTTAAATGTGCACGTGACAAATAAAAAAAGGTAATGGTAAGATGTATGAGGATATATATATGTAAGGAGTATATAAGAGTTTCTCCTAATAAAGTTAAGAATCATGGAGTAAATAGTAATAATTAATGTTAAAAAAATGTAATTAACTAACACAATGCCCAAGTAATTCCTAGTGTGCATTCTCAAGTCATTCATAGTCTATCATATAAATATATAGTAGCTAGGGTAATTAAGTATATATATGGAGTACGTACTACTTAATTACTATATATTGCTCATGAAATAACTCCTCCTCGTTACTACTTAATTACTCCATATAGATATGGACATATCACGCGGCACACGTTCCATTATCATTCACCACCCATCACCACCATCATCATCATCGTGTGATCTGAAAAAGATCAAAATAGTTGAAAATCCGACGGGGCATAACATTCATGAAAAATACTTCGTCGACGTTCACCGGCAGCTCGGCAGCGGCACCTATGGGGCGGTACACGTCTGCGTCGACTGGAACTCCGGCCGCCAGTTTGCATGCAAGACCATTTTGAAAGACGACAGGATGGAAATAGCAGACTACGTGAGAAACGAGGTTGCCGTGTTGAGACATTTGATGAAGGAGGAGAAACCACCTAGTACTAGTAGTAAGAAGTATGTGGTCCCCATGGAAGGTGTGTACGAGGATGACACCGCGGTTCACATTGTGATGGAGTTGTGTAGGGGTGGGACATTGCAGGATGAGCTGTTAAAGAGGAACCCCAGCGTTTACAACGAAGACGAGGCTGCAAGGGTTATAAGGACTATTGTTGAAACTGTAAAGGTATATTCATCACATCTTATTTTTTTCTCTAATAATATATCCATCAGATACTCCCATCGTTTCTTAAAACGATTCTTGTTTTGACTTTGGGGCAAAATAAGGAAAGTGTAATTTTAGTTGACTTTCCAATTTTGCCCTTGATGTGATGGGTAAAATATGATTTGATAATTAGATTAATAGTGAATAGATGTGATGTGATAAGTAGGTTAAGAATTAATAGAGGTAAAAGTAACTTTTTAATAGAATTTAGAAAATGTTTTTGAGACGGATGGAAAAAGAAATGAGAAAAAGAGAAAGGTTTTCAAGCACGGCGGGAGGGAGTAGAAAATAGTGGGAATATTAGAGAGTAAGGGTAATTAAAACTAAAAAGCGGAAAATTTTTACAGGAGGGAGGGTGTTATACGTAATTAAAATATTACTCCAATCTTTGTATTTACTTTTTTACCGATCGCTTTTTTTTTATTACATTCTCTCTCAAATTTTCTTCAAGGCCAATTAAAATATTATATTCCTCCAATTAATATTGTATCATATTCATTTACATTAATTGCAGATGTTGCACGAGAAAGGAGTCATCCACCGTGACATCAAACCTCGCAATCTTATCTATGCAAACAAGAGTAGTCACGTTGACAGCGCTGCGTTAAAAGTAATTGATTTTGGGTTAGCCCATTTCTTTAAGCCTGGTAAGCATGATAACATTATTATTAATTATTTGCTTTGGAGAAATAATCAAGAAATACAAAGATTGGAAGCCACTAAGGTCATGTTCTTCTGGGTGTTGGAAGAAACTAACACAATGTTTGGTTCAAGGAATTTGAAAGCAAAAAGAAAAGAAAATGAAGTGGAAAACAGTTTTTCTTATTTGGTTAGAGAGGAAAAGAAAGGAAAAGTGAAAGAAAAAGAAAATGAAAATGTAAAATATACCAAGGGGAGGAAAAACCAAATTCTGTAAATTCGTGGGGGCATAACGGAAATCACTAATTAAGAGCTATGCAATCAAATCAACCAAATATGTTGTTGAGAGGATACTCCAACACTGTCACAGTAACAGATGACAGACAGAGTGCAATAACACCTTCTCTGTCACAAGCACACACGCAAAATATAAAATAAAAACAGCAAGCAAGACACCAGAGTTGTTCACGAAGTTCGGAGAACTCTCCTACATCTGCGGGGCCCACGTTCGTGTAATAGCCCTCCACTAAATCACTAGATGCAAGTCACACCGGTACATAACAACATGACTATGAGACACGCTTCTCCAAATGGTTATGACAAAACTTCTAATCTAGGATTTCTAACCCGTACCCTGTACAGATCCGCTTCGACTATCACATCTCCACCGAGATCACGAGGACAAACGTGTTGGCAGCCCACTCGTTCAGCTCTAGTTCATCTCTTGGACGTCACGATATGTTTGGCATTGAAGATCTCCTCCTTCATGTAGATCGTAACCTTCTTCACGCATGGGAAGCTCCAGACGCGACGGGAACGCTCTACATCAGTGCATATTCTTTGTTTTTCCCTCCCAGTCGCTCTAAGCAATTCCCAGGGACCTGCTGCATTTTTATAGGCCAATCGAAACCCAATCCTAGTAGAGATAGGTTAGTAGAAGTTGGCTTGAGCACAACTTCCTTAATCTTGATCCACAAGTAGCCTAAAGAGTTGGGATTCCTTAACACGTACAGCTGGAGTTATTATCATGTAGTCACAATCTCAATAGATCTCTGATTCAGATCACAGCTTAAAATCCTGTGCTCAGACTTCTGATCCCGAACAGTGTGTTGCAGCAGCGTGCTGTAACATCTTCTGTGTCAATCTCGAAAACAGAACCAACTCTATAAATCTAAATAAAATAAATTTCTCCTAACAAATAGAGGTTTCTACCTAGTAAAACACCTAACAAAATATGAGATTCTATTTTGTCAAAAGATTAGTCAACACCATGGAACTAACAAATTCCTCCCATTTTGGGGAGAAAAATGAGAGAAAATCATTTTCTTTTCTTTTCATTTCTAATTCCTTGAACCAGACATAGTGTAAAAGAAGTTGGAAAAAACTGCAAGGCCGAAGTTAGAAAAACTGGAAAGAGTTGAAAATTGTTAGAAGAATTAAAGTGTTAAGAAGCCACTTGATAAAATGATCACCCAAATAAATACGAAGTATGTTACAAACTCTAATTTTGAATAAAAAAGACTTCATTCTTGTGGTGTTTGAGGTGATATGTTATAAATTTGGATATATAATATTATTCTATGTGAATCACATATAAATACTCCCTCAGTCCTAAAATGATCTCCCCAGACACTATTCACATGATCAAACTTTAATTACTTTCTTTTTCTATTTTCGTTAGTTATTATTTGATAAAATAATATAGTCATGTCGCCTCTTATTTTGTAGAAATTTTGATGTAGTTTTGAAATATATAATTTTTATTTTTTTAATTTTACACTTATAATCAAATAAATTGAATTGAAAATAACTTCAGTCAAACATCGTAAAGCGAACTGAGAAGATCATGTTACGACAGAGGGAGTACCTTTTTAAGTCCTTGTTGGAAAAAACTAGAAGAGTTGGAAGAAATTTGAAATATTTGAAAGAAAATTAAAAGAGTTGAAAGAAGATATTAGAAGTTAATTTTTCAAACCCAGAACAAGAGGATTTAAGTTACATTTTTTCCATAATTGAAAAAAAAAGAAGTGAGGAGTATAGTTTGAGACAAAAAAAGTATACAATTTATTTTAAGACGAAAGAGATAAGATTATTTTTAGGCACATTAATAAATTGAGATCTAATTTCAAATGTGTGATTATAATTAAGATTATTATTTATATTGGCAATAACAATGTAGGTGAGAAGTATGGTGATAGAATTGGAACCGTATTGTTCATGGCTCCAGAACTATTGAGGGGTGATTATGGACCAGAGGTTGATATTTGGAGCATTGGGATCATACTTTACGTGCTTCTTAATCTAAAATATCCTTTCTGGCCAGGTCTGTGCCATTAAAATATCATCCTTTCTGGCTAGTTTCTTAATTTTTAAGCTAGTTACTCATTTTTAACCTTTGTCTATACTATGGCTAACCTTTTATAATTGTGAAAATGTGAAATTTGCACTGAATAAGACTAACCTTTTATAAATTTCCTAAGTGCCTCAACTCTCAATTAGGCCACTTTATAAAAAAACTTTTCAATAAGTAGTTTATAAATCAAAAGTTTTTTTAATCTATTAGCCAATAAATACCAGGACAAAGAAACACATCTATATTTTATTTTTGTCTATACTTTTGTTCACGTACTGGGGATCTTTTGAAAACGACCTTTCTATTATAAAGAAAGGGGTAAAGTGTACGTACATTCCTCTTCTCTAAACCTTATTTTAATGATCGAGATTTTTTACTAGTTTGTTGTTGTTGTTGTCGTTGTTGTTGTGGTATACAGAGCATATTTATTATACATGTCTATTTGTTAAGATGAGTACATTATGTGGTCCTTATTCTATACATCTTCACGATTCTTTTACATAGATTTTAGGTGTACGTCGTCACAATGTGCCATCAAAAGAAAAAAAGTTTAAATTTGTGCACTTTTAAGTTCACATTTGTGCACTTCCCAGGATTCATGAGAAAGTTCACCCGGATTCGGGCCACATGCCAGCGAAGGCGGTGTTGGCTCTTTATGTGTCATTAGGTTGAGAATTGAGAATATTATGAACTGATATTGTATTGTAATTGAGTCAATAAGATGAAAAGGTTGAGAATTGAGAATATTATGTATTGTTTTGATATGATATTGCAATCATTTTATTTAATTCCTCAATGATCTTCAGGTTCACAAAGTATAGATAGAATGGCTGAAGCAATCAATCGCACAGAAATTGGTGTAGAGAGTAACAATTGGCATCTTATCTCCGATAACGCCAAAGATCTTATAGTTAAAATGCTTAATAGAGATCCTAGTAAGCGAATCACGGCTAACGAAATTCTTAGTAAGTCATTTCTAATTACAACATTATATATGTGTGTGTGTGTATGCTTAATATCTCTTTTAATTTATGAGCTACCACCCTTAATGTTTCTCTTTTTTCACAAATGGACCATTTCAGAGCATCCATGGATAGAAATGTATACCAAGAGAAATTAAACACTAGCTCACTTGAGGATGAAGAACACTAGAGGAGACTTTGGTCTTACCACAAGCTAAGATGCATTGGATTAATTATATATATATATATATATATATATATACACACACACACACACATATATATATACATACACACACACACACATATATATATAAAAGATAATTATAGTAATATTTGTATTTATAATCGTAACAGTATATTAATCAGTTACTATATTGGAAGAATCCTAATCATGTCAGGATCTCTATCTATATAAACTACCATGTACACTTATTATTCTTTGAGTAAAATTCATTGTTTTCTTAAAATCAACATGGTATCAGAGAGTAAAGATTCGCTCCGCTCACCCTCTCATTAACACCGAGAAAAAAAGGTTATTGCGGCTAGGGTTCTCCTCTGCTGATCGACGTAATTCTCCCTTCCCTTCCCATTTGATCGCCGATTCCTTTTAGGATGACGCCCTCTTCCAACGATCCCATGGATCGTCTTCCTACCGGTCTCAAGCTTTCATCCGGAATCTACAATCTCTTACACCGGCAAAACTCGATGATTTGAACTACCCCTCTTAGTCGGTAACCCTAGGAGCCAACTTTGTGGCTCACAAGCACATTGGTTATGTTGATGGAACAGAACCCCTTCCCCCCCACCTCTTCTTCTTGACGAAAAAGTTGTCGCTCCAGGCAAGGACGATCTTCCAGCTATGAAGGCAAATCCAGCACACGAAATGTGGATGATCGTTGATGCTCAAATTCGAGCGTGTTTGTTGGCTATTGTTTCTCCCACTGTTCAAACACACATACATACGCTTTCAATTTCTATAGCAATTTGGACTCATCTTAAACAGAGGTATAATTCTTTGTCTCACACCCACATCTTCCAGTTAAAAAAACGTTTTCAAAGTATTCAAAAAAGACGTGACTCCATGCAAACTTATCTTGATAATGCCTTGCGTACTGTCTCTTCTCTCACTCTGGCTCATGAGAATATATCTGAACAAGACATCATTCTGTGCGTTCTACGTGGCCCACCAACATATTGCAACTCCCTGAAAAAAATATTTGCACTAATATTAGAAGTGTCAATTTTAATCAATTCTCTGCTTGGCTTCTATCCGAAGAACTGAATGTTAATATTAAAAAAAATTACACGTTAATAACTCCACCTCGGTGGCTTCTATCCTAAGAACTGAATGTTAATCTTGAACAAAAATTACACTTCAATAACTCCACCTCGGTGACCTCTTCGGATGTTAATACCGCCCTCTTTACTAACTCTGTCAGTGTGAATTTTCACGATCGGGGTTGTGGTGCTTACCGCGGAAGGGGCGGACAGACGCGCAGCGGCGGTGGTTTCAGCGGTCAGGGTGGCCGCCTGTTCAAGTTACTAAGTCATTATTGTCTCAACTAGGTTTTAAATGTTAATAACTTAATCATTGTAATTCCTGTTCTCTTGCTAAGTCACAGAAACTTCTCTTTCCTGTGTCTCAAATTGAGACTTCTATACCTTTTGATCTTGTTCCTCTGATGTATGGGGACCTACTTCTCTATCCTTTTTGGGGGTTTTCATGTTTATATTAATACATTGATGATTGCACCAAGTTTTGTTGGTTGTATCCTCTTAAAAGTAAGTTTGATGTTTTTGATGTCTTTCTTAGTTTCCAATCTATGCTCCAAACTCAGTTCATTGTCCCTGGATCAAATCTGATTTGGCAAATAGCACTAAGTGTCGAACCCGTGCCAACCTAGCTTATGACTTTATATTCCTTTAGTCACGAAATAATCTAACTTTCTTATTTTTTATCGACTCGGTAGATACTTTTACTATTAATAAATAAAATTTTAAATAAATAGATGTTACAAAAATTCGATAAATCAAACCAATATCTTAAAATGAGCTCAATTATATTAAATTTATATTCAATCATAATCAAATATATACTTTTTCATAATTTAAAATGAACTTTGTAAAATTTGACAAAAAAATCATAGAAGAAAGATAGTTTAGATAAAAAGTGAGTAAAACTTTTGATGTAATTTAAAATATTTAACGTACACCATACTTTCTTCATTCACATTTAACTGTTCGTCATATACAAAGTAATTTTTGAGATATATCAAAAAATAAATGAATCTGGACATACTTCATATCTAGATTCACTAATTTTAAATGTATCTAAAAGTCAAACAATGGTGGATCGGTTTAGAAAATATTTTTAATGGGGGGTACTTTGGTCATAATACATGCATAGTATCACAAAACTGAATTAAAGTGAAGAAAATCAAAGTCAAAAAACAAGAAGAAATTAATAAATAATTTCATTCATTTAATACAAAATACAAACAAAATAGAAAAAATTAATCAAAACATTGAAGAAGATTGTTACACCTCGGCCTCCTATCTTGTCGGAAGTGTTCATAAGTGCTTGACCTCACAAACCAATTTAAGTCTTTCTCACAGATTTTATCCTCACTTGTGTGCTCAGGGAACTTCTCATGAAGTCACTCATCCTCAAATACGTTTAACTTTGAAAATTTTAAAAGATAAGTTCTCGAAAAGAAGACGCGTCGTCTTATTAAAGTATGATTCATACTATCGATTTTCAGTTCTTTCTATTCAATATATTTCATGTCAACATGGGGTATTACATAAATAGAGAATTAACCTAAACTAAACACCCAATTATTACTTTATATGTAAAAGGGAAATAAATTATATAATATTTTTTTCTTCAGAAAAACTGAAAAAGAAAACTTGGAAACAGAGGATTGTTGGCTGGAGTAGGCGACTCGCGATAAACGTGTATAAGCTTAAACGGCTGAAGTAAGGGGAATTTAACTAAATATAACTAAAACATAATGTTTTTTTCAATATAGGACCATATATTTTTATTTTTCAATGTATGACCATTGGTCATTATCCATTAGTCATTATTGAAGTAAAATGACCACCATGACTAGAAATTATTCCTTCTACTAGACATTATTAAGTACTTCCTACGTCCCAATTTATAGTGCCAAGTCACCATTCACAGGGTCAAACTTCATTGAATTTCTTTCTCTATTTTCCTTAGCAATTTGATAAAATAAAGTACTATTTCACTACTAGTTTTGTAGATCTTTTGATGTGGTATTTTAATATGTAATTTTTATTTTTTAAATCTACACTATTTGTCATATAAAATGATTTGAAAATAATTTAAATCGAACATCGTAAACCGAAACAGACACTATAAGTTGAGACGGAGGGAGTACTATTTAGCAAATAAAAAAGTTTAAGTCCTACATTATATTGAGAAATAACTTATATTGAGTGGGGCCATCATTTTGTTTGGGGGCATAACATAGAAATTATTCCCTCTATGAGTATTTGTCCACTTTAACTTTTTTCAGTTAAATTGGTAAATTTTGACCTTAAATTAAATAAAAACAATATTAGATATTGATACAAAAATAGTTTTATTAGATTTATTATATCAAATATTTTCAAAATATTATTTTATAAAATATATATTTTACTCCGGAGTATTTAATTATAGGTCAAAGGTTGAAAGCTATTGATCGAAAAAAGTCAAAACTAGACAAATACAAAGGGACGGAAATAGTACTACCTATCTACGAATGTATTAGTGTAGTTTGATCTTTTTGAATTAAATTGGATAAATTTTGACATAAAAGTTTTGTTTAATTGAAGTTTAAAGTTGGATTCCATTTAATTGAAAAGATCTGCGGTTCGAGCCTTGTGTCGAAAGTCTTCCCGACAGGAGGTCGGGCAGCGCGTCCCGCAAAGAGTGTGCGGCGGTGCAAGATGGTTAGCAGATAAAAGGAAAAATGGATTACCGCTGGAGGGGAGGTTGAAAATTGTGTGGTCCTTGGTTGAGGGGAGGTTTGGTGGAGATTCCTCCAAGTCCCACACCGGAGGAGAAGAAAAAATGGACCAAAATATATAGGTTCACCCAACCCCATTAGTATGAGGCCTTTTGGGAGGTACCCAAAAACAAATCCGTGAGGACTTGACCCAGAGCGGACAATATCATACTAATGCGGGGTTGGGGTGAGGGCACGCGCAGTCCCAACATATTGATGAGCTCACATATGTATGGAGGAATATGAATATGCAAGAAGTGTTGATAATTAGGGATGCACGGGTCGCAATTAGGGTGAAATTGTTCTTTCGTGGTCCTAAAGTCTACATATAAAATATTAATTTTTTCACATTTTTCATGGACTGGCAAGTGAATTATATTTTTTTTGTAAAAAACCAAAATCTTTTATAATATCAATAAAATACACTAAAATCTATTAAATAGACATGAATTTTAGGACTATGTAAGAATTTACCTTACGGACCCTATGAATTCATCTTCAATTGGTAAGGAGCCTAATTTACAAGTGAACACCATACCTTAAGGTTTGGATTTGGCACTTGTCAAAGGCGGGGTACCCTGGAACTCCTGAAATAATATCGGAGTTTGATTTTTGGCAATTACGTTGGGAGGACTTACGTAAGTATAAGATCTCTGCAATGCCAAGTACAAATTTCACTTTTTGTCACCAATCTATGATGAAAATCAAATTTATTTTCTTCTCAATAACCATCGGATCGAGTTTGAGGAGACTCTCAAAATGAGGTTTACCCTTTTTTATGAATATACTCCATATTATTCTACTCAGTCAATATAAAAATATAAAGAAAGAAGATAAAATTTGATGAAATAAAAATAAAAAAAGGATGGAAATGAGTTTGTTGTGGCGCCGGTCAGTATCAGAGATAAACTCGAGTTTGGTTCTTAGCAACTGCATTGAAGGCAAGTATGTTAAGCATAAGACTCAGCAAGTACAAACTGCAGACTCCGCTCCCTGCCATCAATTCGCAATTAAAATTCAATTTACTTTCTCTAATCGTCCCATGTGGTCTGAATTGACCCTTTGGAATGGGGCTCATGAAAGTGTGTTGTGGTAGGATAGTCACACATGGCTATACCTTATTGGCAATGGAATATTTTGATGATTGGATAAGATAAGAAATTGGATTCCATTTCTATGAGTCACTTTTTCCACCTTCTCCTTTTTCAACCCACCAAACTTCCCCAAAAATCTCTCCACTCCCAAGCACTCCGATCTATCCATATCCATGGCTTCCATGACAATCACACCCGCATATTTCGGAGGCTCAGCCGCCGTCCCCAAGGGCCCCTCCGCCCTCCGGCGCGGGGTCGTCCCCGTCAGGGCATCGAAGGAGGCGTCGAACGCCGCCTCCGCCGAAGAGATCGGAAAAGGGAGGAGGGATTTAGTCTTCGCCGCCGCGGCAGCGGCGGCGTGGTCGGTGGTGAAGGTGGCGGCGGCGGAGGAGGAGCCGAAGCCGGGGACGGCGGAGGCGAAGAAGAAGTACGCTCCGATTTGTGTGACAATGCCCACCGCCAAAATCTGCCGCAAGTGAGAAACCTAATTATTATTATGAAGACCGCTCTTCTCTTGCTCCGTATGTTGTAATTGGGTTCATAACAATGGCTGTAAAACCTTTGCCTTTTTTTTATTTAAAAAAAAATTATATTTTCTTATATTAATCTTCTTTTTAAATTGCTAAATTCTTAAGTGGACCTAAAATGCATCTAAATTTTCATGAACTAGCATAGCTTCATAATCTATTTCTGATTTTCATTATATCATTATAAGTTACGTCCTAAAACGTTCTTCCCTTTTACGTTTACGAAGTTTGATAGAATTTAATTCTAATTCAATTTATCTGATTGTAGGTGAAAAATTAGAAAAATACAATTTATATATTTAAAAACTGTATCAAAACAAAAGAAGAGGTGACAAGACTATATTATTTTATCAAATAACTAACGAAATAGGTATAGAGAATGATTAAAATATTATCGTATGAATAGTAATTGAGAAATACGTAGTACATCTTAGGACGGAGAGAGTATTTAATTTACTTTTGGGTGGGGGTAGGGTGGGGGTTTAGGGGGTGGGTTAGGGGGGTAGGAACCGTCAATTTTACGAACGGGGCACACCGGAGGTGCCCCAAAAACCCAGTGGCACCGTTCTCCGATGTCACTAGAACCGGGTCGTAGTTAAATAGACAATTTTACCCTTAAAATCATTAAAGAGATATTAGGTGTTAACAAATCTTTAAGGGCAAACTTGTCCATCCAACACAAGAATAGAAACAAAATGCACAAATAATGATACTAGCAAGTAGTTTTTACATTAGACAATAATAGCGTATTAAGAATTATTAGATACATTGGATTTTGAATGAACGTAAATATACTTAAATATACATTCATTCAAAATTAAATGATTCTATTGACCCTTAATGGACAATTAGTATGGATTAGAAGGGAATAGACTTGAAGCATAGAAAACACACATATACAATCTATAGCCTATGCAAAAATATACTACGTATAAACTATAAAGACTCAAATGTCCATATTTAGTGCTTCTAAAAGAAGATCAAATTGGATTGTACAAAAAAAGAGGATAGCAATGAATTTATAGCCACCACAATACAATAATAATGGGAAAATGGATGGAAGAAAAAATAAAGAATAATTGTTGAAGAATACATACTCTTTATCCAATAATTCAGAGAAAATGGAGAATCACATCATCATCCTACGGTGGCCATAGCCATACCCCCACGGCGGCGGAGGCGGCCGCTGCAGAAATCCGTACTGCGGACGCATCGAGTATCCCCCACCGCTGCCACCGTAGAATCCCACGGGCACAGGCGGCGGAGCGACGGGCCCCTCCACCTGATCGACACTCTTCAAATAATGGTCGTGGAAGGGGCAATCCGACTGCGTGCACTCCTTCGGGGCGCGCGCGGGACCCGCCACGTAACTTTCCCGGACGTGGCCGGGGTAGCTGTCGCGGGCCCCACCGCTCTCGTCCTCGCCGCTCCGAGTGGAGCGGCGAGGGCCGGGATCGGGAGCATAGTTGTTGTCTTTCTTTGGAGCTGAGGAATTGAAGTGTTTGGGGAGAGGGGCTTTTTTACCCCCACGGTAAATATTGTGGTTATAATCGGGTGTTTGGTTATCCTCGTCGGGGAGGTCGTGTTTGCGGTAATAAATGATTTCACCTTCTTCGCCCTTAAGTTGTAGGGCATGTAGGAGCCCTACGGGGTCTGCGTCTCCTCTGATTAGGACAAAGTTCTTCTCTCTGATTAGGTCAACTTCCTTTACTCCTAACACAATAATCAATTTAAGATGTATTAGTAGTAAAACAACAACAACATTACCCCAGTGCCACAAGGGCTCCCGCCCATTGCGGGGTAAGGGGGGTCGGATGTACGCAGTTTGACTCCTATGTTTAAAACATAGAGGGGCTGTTTTCAGATGTCCATGATGAGTGTCGAAAGTTACATTGACTAACTGCTACATTACAATTGCAATTTGCAAGAAGCGCGGACAGTTTAAAAAACCAATTTGTTTTATTCCATCATACTCCAAAGCCAAAACATAGTGAACCTTTGGCTCCACAGGAGAATGGAAATAATATTATTAGTAGTAAATTCAAGAAATTACTGCATAGAGAAATTTACCTGAAAAGGAAAAATGACTTTTTCAATATAGGACCATATGTTTTTATTTCCTAATATAGGACATTTGGTCATTATCAATTAGTCATTATTCAAGTAAATATTCATCACTACTGTACATTATTCCTCCCACTAAGACATTATTAAGTCTTATTTAGAGAATAAAAAAGTTTAAGTCATACATTAGAAAAGTCATTATGTTTTAGTCTTATTTAGTGCAAATTCTACTTATTTATTTAGATTATATTTAATTAATGGTCAAAGAATGTCACTTTATGACTAAAAAAGTTAAAAAAAGAAAGAATTTTTTAGACCAAAGGGAGTAATAAAAAGTAAATTGTAAATTACAAATAAATAACTGTAATAATAATAGTAATAATTACAACCATTATTGTTATAGTAATAATAATACTCCTTCCGTCCTAAAACTTTCTTCCCACTTCTCCTTTCCCCCGTCCTAAAACTACCTTCTCATTAGAAAAAAAAGATGACGAATGACATTAATACCCTCATGTATTTACACCAGTTATCTTCTAACTCTATATTTTAAATGATTGTAAAAAAAATTTCAAAAAATCTTTTTTAAGGAGGGTAAAATTTAAAGTCAAAGCCAAAAATTAAAAATGAGGAAAAGTCAAACTGGGAAGAAAGAATTAGGACGGAAGGAGTAACAATTATAATGAGAATAATAACAAATAATTATAATACTTATAATAATAATAGTAACAATAACAATAACTATAATATGAATAATAAACAAAGTAAATATATAAATAAAATTAATTCAATTAAATAAGAAATAAATAAATACTGAATAAATCATAAAATGAAAAATAAAAAATTTAAAAATGAATATAAAAATCAATGCTTTCTTTTCCTTCTTCTAGCCAAACAAGATAAAGAGAGAACCCCTCCAATTCCTTCACATTCCCTCCCATGCTTTCTTTCCTCTCCCTCCCAACCAAACGGGCTCTTAGCATTTTTAAAGTTAGTCTACACTATAAAAAAAATTCTCTCGTTAATGCTAATTGAAAATAATATTCTTAAACAAAGTCATATTTAATTAGTTTTCTATTCAATTTTTTTCTCTAAAAAATTATCTATATCCTCAAATTGCCTTAACTAAGTTTTCAAATTTATCCTGCAAGAAGGGATCTCATAACTTAAACACAATAAAATTACCGAGTATTAAATTTTGGAATCCTTACTTTATAACTCAAATCCTTACCATAATCTTCTAACTTTAATACGAATTATGCTAAGGTGTAACACTATTGTTCTTATTCTCTTATAGATCCTTCTAATTGAATTCTTTCAACGAAATTATTTTTGCTTTTAAAAATTTAATTTGACGAGATTATTAAATCTTAAATTACAAACAGATGCATTATACACCACAGAATTTTTTTAGTAAAAAAGTCATTTTACAATAAGACATTTTGCAAATTCATCTACCAACTACTCCTGGCCATTTTGCGATGAGAAAAATAAGAGAAACTTTTTTATTTTCAATTCATTTCATTTCGAAAAATAAATTAAGAAAGTGAGAATTACCATCGATTTTTAAGAAAAACTTCCTCAATTTTGAAGAACAATCATCACACGTACAAACGCTTACTTTCAATATACAATCCTGCAACGTGCATAATTAACGTTAGAACTTCAATAATCGACACTACAAATTAACCTTACAAACCTTAAAATCTAAATTTAAACCCTAAAACATGTGCCAAATTAAACTTAAGGAACTTGTAGAGAATGAATTGAAGACAACTTCAATCAATACTCTCACTAGAGTTTGAACATGTGACCTCTGGTTTAAGAATGACGTAATTGAGCCAACTATTTGTAATCCAAAGAGCTTCCCATGACATTGGAACTCCATATCATGGGATGACTCGAGAACACCCCGGTCTCTCGTTCATAAAACCGACAGTTTATCCCCTAACCCCACCTCGCCCCGACCCAAACACAACCCTCACCTCTTCAATTACACCTTCCAAGTTAAATTTGACTTTGGAGTCAAAATTGACCTCAGAGTCAAAATTAACTCGGAGTGCAATTAAAGAGGAATTTGGGGATAGAAACCATCATTTTTACGAACGGGTACTAGAGCGCTTCTAAATCATCTCATGACATTGGCGGGCAAAGGAAACCGCCCCGTTCATAATCCATGATTAAACCCTAGACAAGGGAATGCACTTTTCGTGACACAACATGTTAAAAACAATATAGTACGAGTACAATTTCATATATATCTCCAAAAATTATTGTTCTAAATTATTTTTTGGGGGATTACAATTCATCATCATATTGTAAATTATAAAAAAAATCACATTAATAAAAGAAAGAAAATTACCGGTTCGGGCACATGATTTTCCATCTTGAATTGCTTCAATGAAATCAAGAAGTATGATACTCCTACTAGCAAATCATCATGAAAAAGCTACCTGTAATTATAATAAAATAAATAAATAAATAAAAAGTAAATTGATATTCATAACAAAATCAAGATCAATAATAGCAATTTAAATTAGCTTATTACCACTAGTGAGACGGGCTCACGAACTACGGACTATTTTTTCAACAATTTCCCGAAAATAATTAGATGATTTTTATTTTTTTATTATTTATAAAGTAGAGCTTGATAATTTTCCTTATATCTAATATAAAAACGAAAAAAAAGGAAAGAAAAAATGGCGAGTATCTCAATTCAAGGAGAGTATATACTATTATGTATAGTAAGTTTTATAAGCACAAGCAATACTGAAAAAATTGTATTTATAAAAGGTGAATTAAGGAAAAATAAAATTTAAAAAATGAAATTTAAAAAATATGATAAAAATGGATGGAAGTGTAAAACAATCTTTTTTTAGCATAAAATAATATTTTTATTTATAAAATATTTACATAGATTAATTAAAGAGAAAATAAAAGGATTCATGGCTTAGCTTCCTCTTAAATGCACTCAATTTATTCCAATTTTTACGCATCATTAATATTATGTAATACTCCGTATGTATATGCATTTAAATTATAGGTTTGTGAATTAAATTTTAATTTTTAAATCTCTCCATATGTTTAATTTTATATGGCTG